ATCGATGGTGAAGGTGTTCGAGGGGAGATTATAAAATTCTAAGCCTAAATAGTATTTACTCTGTTATCTGCTTTTCCGAATCTTATAAAAATACAATGGGCCCATAGATTTGAAATGACGTAGAAAAGATGATCGCTAATTCCACCAACAGATTTATTCTCATAATTCCACCAATTGTGCTATTATTGGAGAATTTGGTTCTCTAGATTTTTTACACCCGATATTTTTACATAGAAGCCAGTCAGTGACTAGTAAAAAAAATTGCTGGATTACGGTTTTTGAGATTTGACCCAATGCTGGCATTTTTTTGATGCAACACCCTGTATATCTTCAGGTCAAGTGTTTTTCATTCTTTTTCCTAATTACATTTATGTATCACATATATTTTTTTAAATTTTAGCCATGAAAACCTTATTTTTTTACTGTTTTTAAATAGAGGGCCCATAGATTTGATGTATTATGGAGATTTTGTTTTGCTTAATGTATCCATGGTAATTAATGTAGCTGATACTGATCAATAAAAATGGCTTGACGTTAAAATATACTGGGTGTTAAAAATACCAACTTTGGTTCAAATCTCAGAAACGGTGGTCCAAAATTATTTTTCGATTGCGACTCTGGATTCTACGTAAAAATATCTGAAAAAGTCAGTTTTTACATTTTCTTAATCTCACATGGATAGTAAGATACGATAACATCCCCAAAATTCAAACTTTTCGTTTTCACCCTGTATCTCGGAAACAAACGTGGCTAGATAAATTTTGTTTGTGGTATTAAAAACTTCACAAACAAGAGGCAGAGGATCGCGAAAACCGCAAGTGTCTTATCTTTAAAAACATCTGAGATGCACTGCAGCCTCAACAAAAATAGGAGACACTGTACATGGAACATGATTCTTTGTCAGTAGTTTTTAAAAGGAATGGTGACACGACCAGCACTCAGAAGGACGAATAAACAAATAAAAAGGCTACAGTAAAGCATTTTTTTTTAATTTTTAAGGTTACGCTGATTATTACGAAACAAAAATATTGCACAGTGCACGATGATAAAGTCGAACATCGGTTGGAGAAGTAAGAAGGGAAAAAGGGTTGTACTAAATTTGAGATGCTTTTTCTTCTCATAAATGCCAGTTCACTTTAAATGTGCTTACCGATGTATCAATGTAATAAGGTCGTATAATTCTAAGAAGATGGTTAGCACACAACTGGCCCTATTTTTAGCGCATTTTCTAACTCATGTTGGAAGGCGCTATTATTGCCACTTTCTCCATCCGTCCGTTCGTCCGTCGGTCCGAGGCCTTAACTACTACAATTTTCAAGATATTTAGTTCGTTCTTTTTGCATTTGGTAGCTTATGGCTCTGGCACCTCAAGTAAGAAAAATCGCGCATTGCGCAGTGTCAACTTTCTTATTTATAGAGATATTTTGTTGAAATTTTAACCACAAATTTTTGAACCTATAGAGACACAAATGAACGATGTGACTCATATTTGAAAAGACCGCATTAGATGCAGTAGATGTAGATAATCTACTGTAGTAGTTTCCGGTTTTTCTCAAATGATAATTCTTTTATTTCTTCAGATGATTCAGATTGCACTGTTTCTTCCGACTCTTCTTATTCAGATTTTGTGAATTTGCAGATTATTCGGATTCTTCATTACGTCGGATGTTCCATTGATCAGTTTCTTCAGATGTTTACGACTCTTTAAATCTCAGTTTTCCGATTGGTGGGATTCTTAAGGTTCGTTGGACCTCGAATTTCTTAAGTTATCCAAATTCTCTTATGATACCTTTTTGGTTTCCCCCCTGTGTTATTAGGATACTTTGAAGTCATTTATTTCTTTGTATACTTTATATTTTCTGGCTTATTAGATTTTTAAATTTTTTAAATTTGTTTAGTTCTTTAAATCCATCCGGTTCTCGGTACTTTTTATTCTTTAGAGGTTTCAGATTCTTCCGATCCTTCATTTCTTTCCAATTTCATCAGATTTGACGTCCACCAGAAGCGTAACATTTGCATGATTTTTCAGCTCCTTTCGTGACTGAATTCTTCCGATGATTAAAGACACAAATTTCCACCTTTTCGAAATATTACAATATTTCAAAAATTTGCGTTCTTTAGAATTCTTCCGATCCTTCAAGGTCCTCAGATCTACAAGATCCTTGAGATTCTTCAAAGCCTTTTCATCTTTTTTCTATGCTTCTATACCCACGGCCCGTGTGGCGCAGTTCAGTTGAAGCTGGACTGTGGTGCTAGGGTCCCTGGTTCGAATCCGGGTTCGGACATGGATATTTGTAAATGTATAGTGCGTGGGGTTGGTAGAGCAGCCTTGGCTGAAACCCCGCCCACTCAAAAATAAAGGCAAAATAAATAAATAAATAAATAAATAAATATGTAGCTTCTGTTTCTCCTACTTATTCCGACTCTACATCGTTAAAATTCTCCCAGATACGTAAGACCTGGCGTAAGCCTCTTCAGATTTTCTTCCGATCTGATCTGATAGAATTCCTTCGATTTTTCGAATGCTTGAAATTATTTAGACTCTTATATTCCTTTGGATTCTTTCAATTCTTCGTCTTGGTAATGAATAGCACAAAATGGGTTTTTACAGCACCGGTTAGTGGGGTTGGTTTTACACACCAAGGCAAACATTTTTTCAAAATAAGCTAGTTTGACTGCAAATTTTTACTGAATAGAGTATACACTGTGTTCAAGATAAGAATGGGGATCTCAGAAATCACAGAAGATACGAATATAGTCAAATTAAAGAAAAGATGCACAATTAATGAGTTGTCATTCTTAAAAGAAAACCAGAAAATTTCGATTACTTCCGAAGATATCCCAGAAAAACTGAAATTTGCCGATTTTGTTTTTATTTTTGTCTGATATTATTTGAACAGGTAAAAAAAAGAAAAAACACTTCCCATTGCCACTTTTTGAGCTCTACAAGACGGCGTTGAGAGATTTTTAATACAACGCTTCATTTCGGAGAAATCATCATCAACTTTATTTTTTATATGGCCCGTAAAAAAAGTACATACTGTATTGGTTAGCATTTTGTTATTATGAATACGATGTACGGCACAAAAAGCAAAAGTTGGAAACAGTTGGTTTCAAAAGAATGGCGCACCTGCGCACAACACCTTAATAGTGCGAGAATACCTTTCCGTTCCATTTTCCGTTATATCCGATAGGTATGTTGAAGTTTGCTGGTTTTCTTTAAAGCATGATAATAACTCATTAATTGTGCATCTTTTCTTTAATTTGACCATATTCATATTTTCTATGGTTTCCGAAATCCCCATGATAGAAATCCTTATGAATCCTTATGAAATAATGTGGAAACTCCAAATAGTATTTCTATTTCTTCCGTGATATGGATATTTATCACGTTGTTTTCAATAACCGCCAGTCCTATACAAATTTTTGGAGCGAACCAAAAAGCATGAAACTTTCCATTTCCCAAATATCTTTCATTTACTAAAATATGTATTTCAATCTGCCGTTTGCTGGAAATTTGTCACATTTTTCCAGAAAACGGTAACTAGTTCACAAATATTGAAGTGAGCATGAAATATTGCATTAGGTACCGCTTCATAATAAAAAAAGAACAGAATTAAACTAATACACGAAAAAATAAAGCCAGTTAACGGAGCATGCGGGACGGCGTTTCTGATATAGCCTCACGTGCATTAAAAGCATAGCTGAAGTCGGTTTTGCGTTGGGTCCGTTTCAGGTGTGTGATTCAGTGAGTACATACGTAAAAATCGGGTGGGAGGGAGGCATTCTTAGCCAAACTTTCGAGGTAAAACTACATAACTTAAGCGCGGCGGTTGTGGGTCGCGTATTATACATTCTTCGAAGTTTAAAAAATATTTGTGAGCCGCGTAGTCGTACGCGATATCTTATTGTGAAAGTGGAAATTATTTACTGAAATTTTAAAGGAAAACTGTACCGTCGTTTCGACGAAATTCTTGTCGTGGAGAAGTGGTAATAAATTTTACATTAAAAGGCAACCGGTAAAAAGTTAAAAGACAATTAATTCGTGCTTTGGCTAGCTGTTGAACCCATAACGGTAATTTTTGATATTTTCCTACTGTGGAACATTGGTCAATTAATCCAACTTCGACTATTAAAGTTCGAGAAACCTGAAGCTCAGTTTGTTTCAGATTCAAATTATTCACTTTCAACGAGCAGTTAAGTTTACCAGGCGATACAAAAAGTCCGATTGTATTGCACGAGACGTCCACCATCCAATTTTCTGAATTTCGCCTACCTTTCAAAAGGAGAAAGACGACTGTCAACGGGACTGGCTCAACAATAAAAGTAAGTTATTTTGACTATTTTGTATCGTGTAAAAATAGGCGTCGATCAATCGTCCTCGACCCAAAAGTTTATTCATAACTGACCTAACCGTGGTAAAAATTAATTGACAATAAAAATTTTACCAGTGCAGTAGAGGAAAAAACGAATATATGGTGTTCAGTTGGCATGTTAAAGTTATTTTCTACACTAAAACCAATTTAAAGAATGCCCAGTTTTTTCTAACAAAGTGTCGAGGTAAAGCAAATCAGCATAAACAGACTTTAACTGTGAGAGGGGTTAGTTGAACCCTTTTGTAAACGTCACCGCAGAGGGCAAATTAACTACTCAACTTTGTAGCGTGCAGCAATAAAATTTTCGCACGTTAAATCAGCGTATCCCTGACAATTTTTTTTCACATAAGAAGTTCTTTCCCAAATAAAAGTCCTGTATAATGTACGCTACTAGTGGAACATGTTTCTTTGGTGTAATGGGTAAAATATACACCTAGTTTGTATACTACATGAAAAATTGGGGATTTCTAATTGTTGTGAGATGACTATTACATCCACGTTAACTAGAAAATAAAGAAATAAAGACAATATAGCAATATCTTCAACGGAGACCACAAAATTCTGCATAAACTTGCATAAGCCCTTACAAATTTTATATTTAAATAGAGCTTTCAGTTCGCTTACCTTCTTATTGACGTGAAATATTGGTCCAGAAAATCTTGAGCTTGTAATAACAGGTCATCTAAACTGCGGAGCTCGCTAGCTATTTTCCCGCTGTTGTTCAAAGTGCTTGCCAAACATGCTTGCGGCGTACACACTGTATTCTGAAACAAATAACAAATCATGTCAGTCAATCGGTGTCAGTTTTGTCACAGAAAATATCGGGCAAAATTCTTAAGTAAAAATGGTCGCCGCAACTCCGCAAATCGAAGCAGATCAACGTTTATTGCAATTTAAAACTTACGAAGACTATTTGGATTCGTTGACTACGTCTCAGGATATCTGCAACCTTCAAAGTGTTGCAGTAGCCAGAACGCTCGCTGAACTTGGATATAGGTAAGTTTTTGCTACAAATCGAATTTTAATTTAAATTAACCGCCACTGCTCCTGTAGGAAAGTTTATTAGTGCCCGATCCTAATATAGTTAGGGGCCGAAAATTTCGGTATTGTATTCAGTGTTGCAGCGGCACGAAAAACAATTCGTTAATTTAATTCGACAACAAATGTAAATTAATTAACTCTCGGATTATAAATGAATAAAGGTGAAGACTAATTTGTTCGCTACCAAGATATGGTATACAGAAATAATAAACTTAATTATCTCACCCCAAAGTTTGAAAGTGGCGAGAGATAGTTGTTCTAATAGAAATCTATTTTCATACCCGTATAATTGCGTCAACCTAATTACGAAAGTTATTCTTTCTAATTTACAATATCTAAAATAAATGTTTTCTTACTTTCCGTGTTATTTCCTTCAAGACAAAAGATAATTACATGTTGTTTCTCCACCAAAACTTCCACCTTACTTTTTCTTTTCCGGGATACAAAACTGATGGCTTTTCGGGATTAATAATTTAATTTATAAAAGGATGAAAGTATTTTGCTTAGTTACAAAAATGATTTACGGAGTACATACAATTGTATTGGAACAAGTTGCGCTTCAGTAAGCCATATATAATGTTATTGTTTTCTTTGTTGCCTATTCTATTTATTTTTTTCTCAGTTTCGATACGAAGTTAATTTTTCTTATGGTTTCCCATTTTGTACAGGGGATTGTATCCGAATAAGCACTAAGCAGATATTATAATTCGTGATTGTCCTTTCCTGTAGCCATTATTTTTGTGTTTACTGTGCGTATTTCCATGTTCCTCTTTGGTAATGCTTCCTCTCAAATTGGTGGTATCTCTTTTTTTATGGATGGGAAGTATTACGTACCCTGCTGCTTTTCCCGTCTTTTCCTATACATATATACAACTGCTTCCATTTTTCTTGAAAATTTTTCTTCTCTTTATTATTCCAACCTCGTCGGTAATTTATTTAATTGTTTTTCCATCAAAATCTAGTAACCCAATTCCAAATAATGCAAACACTAATCACTCATTCATAAATTTTCTATTGCTAGTGTGCTTTAACAAAAAAAATGTCCAACTTCTTATGAAGAAGATTTTATATAAATCATTTTTTGATATCCCTGCCAGTTTCCGAAATAATAGATTGTTCCATGATAAATGGGACACTCTGTATATAAATTGATTAACTGACATTCAAGTATAAGATTACGAAACTGGTAGTCCCAAAGTTTACCGCAACTCACAAAAGAAATGACCGCTACACCCCAATTTGTCTGGCTTATGCAGATACCGTTAAACCCTAATAAATCATCCCCTGAAACTGATACCTTTTCTAGGCAAGAATGCCGTTGCGGCGTTCCAAATTTTTTTCCAAAAATCCGGTCTGTTATTTTTCGTCTCCGTAATCCGAATATACATATCCAATATTTGAACAATGTCCGTCGAGCCGAGCGATTTGTCAGTACCTGAACTTAAATGAGCTAGCTGGACAGGTGCTTGTGAGTGGTTTAGTTACTGTTGCCATTGCACATAGCAATATCTATAAAACTAAAGGAAAGATGGCTATCCTAATCCTGTTACGCACAGTATATAAGACAAAGCAAATCAGTTTAATCTACACCAATGACTGCTTTGGAAAGTTATTTAAATTTTAAATAATAATAAAACGGTCACATCGAAGAATTGACTTATATCTAGAACGTCCACTTGGCGGCCAAGGGTTTCCAACAAACATCAACGGCTTCCAGAAGAAGTCTTCTCGAAATTTTAAGGGTTTGAAAGTATTTTCACTCCTCAAAACCTCAATGGTTTTCACAGCTTCACTTCAAAAGTACGTAATGTATTGAATAACATTTTTTTATTACGAATAGAACGATGCACGGTACAATAAAAAAACAGTTGAAATCCTTGTTTTTCAACAGCATGGTGCATCCTCTCACAACGCCATAATGTTGCGAGAATACATATCGGACAAATTCTTCCATTTTCCAGGACATTTGTCCGATAGATATTTTAACTGTTATGGCGTTGTGCGCGGGTGCACCACCCTGTTGAAACCAAGTTTTCAACTAGTGTTTTTTTGTACCGCATATCGTTGTATTCGTAGTAAAAAATGCTACTCAATACAGTATGTACTTTTTTTGTGTGCTATATAAAAAAAATAAACTTGATGGTGATTACTCCGAAACGAAACGTTGTATGAAAATTTCTGCGATAGGTATTCCAAGGGACAGCTCGATGAATAGTGTGGGGTCTCTGTACCATCAATTTCAATGGTTAAAAAGGGATTTACTGAATTCACAAATGGCACCGAACGTTCAGGTCAAATGCCAAAAGAGGTCGTCACAAAGAAAACAAACAAAGAAAAAGGTGTTGTTCCGTCAGGATAATTCACACGTGCAAGCACACATGTGTAGTGACCATGGCAAAATTCCATAAATTGGGCTACGAACTGCTACCCCATCCAGCATATTCGCCAAATTTACCCCCGTTCAACTATTTCCTATTTCTAAACCTGAAGAAGTGGCTGGGCGGTAAGAGACTTCGGTAAAATGAAGACGTCATCACTGAAACAAACGCTTATTTTGAGGGACTTGAGAAAACCGGTACATAACGGACCTCAAGCTACGAGCATGAAATTAATAAAAACGGTTAGAGGATATCTTAATTATGCGTTTTCAACAAAAAAAATTGCGGAAGAAGTCCGAAATTTTGCACAATTGTAATAAGAAGTTTAGTTCACTTAACCGAAATGTAAGGTTATGCTCATATAATGATTATTTCTAAGTTGGTAAGAGTGTGCCTATATTCCTGAGTGCTTTACTTTAATTTATTAAGAGGTTATGGTAACATTTTTCGACCATGTTTTGCAGATAATTTAATAAACGTTAAAAATATTAGACAATGTTAATGGAAAACCATGTATATGTGTTTAATTATATCATAATAGCAGTAAGTATTTCTCTACATGTTTTACATAATTCATGTATAAATTATTTACAGGTGAGCACCGCTTTATCCATGCTTCATAATTAAAATATTTACCAATTCAAAACATGACATAACTACATTTTAACTCGTCTTATTAACTCAAAAGAACAAGAGCCGCTAGGTGCGAAAAAGGCAGCCCCTTCCCCTCTCGGCTGTTGAAGACTGTCGATTACGGAAAAGGGGGCCCATGGAAGATGCGACAGATGCCTGTTCCCCTCTCGGATGTGCAAGGAGACGGTCCAGGCTAATCGGCGGTTCATACAAAAAAGGTTTGATACGGAAAAGGTGGTCCATGGAAGATACGAGAGGCGCCCTTCCTCTCTCGGGTGTGCAAGGTGTTTGATACGGAAAATCCCTCTTGGATGTACAAGGCGATCGAGGCTAATCGGCGATTTATACGGAAAAAACGTTCGATACAAAAAAAGGCAGAGCATGGAAGATGCGAGAAGTGAGAATGTGAGCCTCTCTACGACTAACTTCTTCTCTAAGGCGTTAAGGTTTAGACTGTGCGCGCTTTCAAAAGTAGTTTTATGAATGTGCACAGAAATTACGCTGTCACTTCTGAAAATTACGTTTTTCAGGTTTGTCAACTTAATAATCTGAATAATAAACTGTTGCGAATTTGTGAGAAATACGATTTTGATAAAAGTGAGATGAACCTTTTATTACGATTGTGGAAAATGTAGGGCTTCCGCAATTTTTCTGTCGAAAACGCTTAATTAATGTACTATCTAACCATTTTTATTAATTTAATGATCGTAGCTCGGGGTCCATATAACGCTACCCGAAAAAACCTATTATTTGGAAGGAATAACCAAATTGGAAAAACGGTGGACTAAACGTATAGAGTTAAAGGAGGCTATGTTGAGAAATTAAGCGCTTATATGCCGAAAAAAGTAACTTTTCATTTAAAACTGACATCAAACTGCCCTCGTATTTATAAAAGACTATATAACGAACAAACGACATGTCGTCACTTTAAAAATAAATGTCCATTAACCTAGCAGAGCAAGGTTAGCCGAACACAATCATTCATATTGCATAATTAGGTGCTAATTAAGTGCCCTATTTCCGAATTAAATGCTCCTTTTTTTTTTAAATTGTTACATGATCTGCCAGGTTCATATGAACTCAGCAGAGCACTACCTCAAAAAACCAAGAAAATGAAAAGTGAACTAACTATAATTAGGTGTTAATTAGATGCTAATTAATGCCCTTACCCGAATTAAATGCTCCTTTTTTTAAATTATTACATGTTCTGCCAGGTTCATATGAAGTCAGCAGAGCACTACCTTAAAAACCCAAGAAAATGAAAAGTGAACTAACTATAATTAGGTGCTAATTAAGTGCCCTATTCCCGAATTAAATGCTCCATTTTTTTAAATTATGAACCTGGCAGGTTCTGCCAGGTGCATATGAACTCGTCAGACCACTACCTCAAAAAACCAAGAAAATGAAAAGTGAATTAGGTCCTAATTAGGTGCTAATTAAGTATCCTATCCCCGAATTAAGGGCTCCTTTTTTTTAAATTATTACATGTTCTGCCAGGTTCATAATTTAAAAAAAGGAGCATTTTATTCGGGAATAGGACACTTAATTAGCACCTAATTATAGTTAGTTTCATTTTCTTGGGTTTTAAAGGTAGTGTTCTGCTGAGTTCATATGAACCTGGTAAAACATGTAATAATTTAAAAAAAGTACATGTAGTGAGTCCTAACCATGCAATATGCTTGTGTTCTGCTGACCTTGCTCTGCTAGGTTCATGGACATTGAAAATAAAATAATGTACTTTCCTACTCCATTCGATATTAAAGCAAATTTTTTAATTATTGTGTGTACAGGGTGGTTCAAATTTGTGGCTCACCATGGGGATCTACGCAACGGGGAGAGATACAGTGTAGGTTAAATGGGCTCATTTTTATTACTAAAAAAACGCATTCCAAATTTTTGAAAAATCTTTAACATAATTCAGATATCCCCGAAAAACTGAACACGTCAAATATCGCTTTCATTTTCCCTAGTTTAAACGGTTGGAAATGGACGGTTCCCGTTAACACCTTCTATACGGGCACTCTTTTTCTAATAATCTGAATCTGTTAGCAGAATTTCCACATCACGCTAGATGCAGTATTGTATAGGTTTCGATATGGGTCTATTATGGTGTATGTGTACAAAAAAGGTAAACTTATTATAAATCTCTACCAGAGAATAAATTATTCTTTGGTATTGGCTAGAAAAAGAGTTTTAATTTAAAATGTACTTGAGTTTGTTGATATACTCTCTATAGTCGCCCATTGTTACCTAATCTTATTGGTTACGTTCTTAGAGATGCTCCGTAGCTAATTAAAAGTAAATGTGAGTTTCCACTGAAACATAATAATAGTAATAATTATAGTATTTATTATGTAAGAACGTACAGAGACTTAATTAATTAATACTATGGTAGTATCTCTGGTATTGCCTATGTCTACAAAAGTGTTATTCATTTAAACAATCCGAATAGATGATATTTTTAGTTCTTAAGTACACCCCACAGAGTAAGTTTTTTTTACCAAGGGTTATTCCAGTCCCAACCACTGCACCCGATGTAAACGGACCGGCGAGATATTCCTTGATTACTTTTATAAATTTAACCATAAACAGATGACGTTACAGTTCACGTTTGAAAATCTAAATGCAATCCTATACATTCTAAAACAAACCTTCTTTTACTATGAAATAACACGTACACTGTTGTACAGTTATTCTCGCGTGAAGCTTGACGGTTGTCTATTTTTCCCCAGAGACTTCCCTTAGCACTGAGTTTAAAATATGCAACTGTTTGTTGCAATAAAACATAGAGGTACGAAACCTTTTGCGGTTTTAAATAACAGAGGGTGCCATTAGTTTCAAGGCACGTACAGTACAAGCGATAAATGAGCTCTTAGTTTTAAAAAGGAACTAAATAAAAACAAAGTGAATTTGCCATGTCTTCATTATACTTGGCACTAAACATCGTTAGTAATAATCGCACCTTTTATTGCAGAAGTTCGGCAGAAACTCTCAGTCGAGCGTCGTTTCAAAGGCGATTGGGGGCCGTACTGGACTACTTATATCCGACATTTAAAGCGTACGAATTATCCAGTGAAGGCATAAAAGTACACGATCCGTTGCAACAAGCTTTGGCACTACGCGAGCGCCCAAATCGCATAGGAGTGGTAGCTGTAAGTATGCCCCATGGTTTCCACAATTTCCAAAGTATCATATTTAATGTTACATAAATAACAATAGAAGGTAAATTTTGTAACCGCGAAGCTTATTTAAATAGGCTTAAAAAGTTTCGCGAAAACCCAACTTTGCGAGTGTACAACCGTTTTGGGAAACGTGGAAAATAATTTATAGTCTTATTAGCATTGGGGTATTTTCCGCAAGTCGAAAAACTTCCATGCCGATCAATTAAGTTGCGAAGGAAGTTTTTTTTCAATTTCGGAGACAAAATGATGCGGGCCAGTTAAGTGCACAAAAACGAGGAAACTAAGGGAAAAAAATGGAAGGGCTCGTGACTGTTTATCGTCGGCGCGTCGAGCGAAAGTGTTGTTTCAGTTTCCCGCCGGACGGAATGATCTGAAATTTGTCACGACAAGATACAGCGGAAGTCGTGCGCAAAGCTCCCGTATACGGTATCACTTTCCATTAGGTCGGGAGATCGCATCGCCGATCTCCCTTCAAAATCTTTTTAAGCTCGACTGAATGTAGACTTTTAAGTTCCGATTTCGTGGTAATAATTCGTGAGGAGGCAATTGACCACGAACAATAGTGGAAAATAAATTGTGGCTTGTTTCGGTTATCTCGATGAATTATTACACCACGAAAGAAACAATTTTCCAAGTATATAAGAAAAAAAATGGTCGGCGTGATTTAAGTACCTACTACATTCCCGAAATAGTTCGCGGAACTTCCAGTCTTTCGTCATAATTATTATTATTAAATTATTATTATATTAAGATTGGGGGATGTTTTTTGGTAATTTAAATGTCAATAACCGAGTGTTCATTTTTCAAATTTGTCAATGTTTAGGAATTTCCAAATTCCCACCTGTTTCAATCGTACCATATAGATAAGTCGACGGGATTTCCTAATATTTTCACATATCGCTCCCAAATCATTAAACCGATAGAACCACTGGAATATTTACAATGTTCCAATTTACCGAATACACCCTGTAATTGCCCGCAGGTCTTGGACTATTTCCAATTTTGTTTGAGTCCGAGTTGGTCGTTGTCCCTCGATTTACCATTTCCGAATCAAATTTTTCTTTTAAATCTCATGTGTCAACCCTTTGAGGCGTTAGAGTGGTTTCATAAACCTTTTCTGCATCCTACATACCCATAGATTGCTTCCCACTCTTTTCAATCACGCAAACCTCAGCCCAGGTGGTGGCTTTAGGCTTACAAAATTTTGGCATGTACCGCTTTATAGTTAAAGAGAACGGAACTAATATGCGAGAAAATGAAGCGCATTACGATAAGAAGCGAATGTAAAACCCGATAAGAGTCGAAACGCCACAGTGTTGCCGGTTGTAAAAACCATCGTTACAAAGCTCGAGGGGCGTATTTTCTGCCATACCCTCTACATGTACAAAAAACATAACCCAAGCTTGGTTCTCGTTGATCCATTGCGGGCTTTTAACTCGGCGAGTACAAAAGTAAAAATCAGGTGGGCGTGGGAGAGACAAATTCTTCGTTAAACTTTCAAAGCCAAACTATGTGAGTTGGGCGCGGCATTTTTAGATTAATTTAGTAGAAACTGTGTCGCCATTTCAACGAAATTATTGTCGTGGGTGCCTTTTAAATTCATTGTGCGTTGCCATTACCAGCAAAACCAATAATCAGTGGCGTATTTATGCAAAAAGCGAACTTCATCGTATAACGGTATCGATTGATTTATATTCAACCATAAATATGTATAGTGCGGATATTATGCTCGCCAGGAGAAGTTTGTCTACAATCGTATGGTTTAATATTATTATATACTTTCTTAATACGTATGCGAACATTTTTGTTTTGTTGTACTATTGGAGCTCCGTATTCGCATTTAAACAACTTGTGACCACGGAAGCATTGTGGTTAAAGTACACCACGTTTCATTGCGCTACATGTAGAGTGGCTAGTTACGATTAAAAAAAAACAAGTTTATTAATCAAAATTGTGCACCTCTCTTGTATTTACATGGTGATAATAGATTCTGATTAAAACGGTAACCAGTATAAAAGCAGTTAATTCGCGCTGTTGTTGGCTCATTTTCGACGATACAATAGGCCCGATTGTATTATACAAGAGTTCCATTATCTGTATTATATAAGAGATTGATGGATGGCCGAAATTAACGTTCCTATAACTTCAAAAATTGGTTTGCATCTTTTCTCAAACGCACCTAATGGAATAATGGAACTGTATGTGTTTGGGTATGATCTTCTCCATTATAAAAAGAGCTCCTATACCAAGATCTGGTAAATGCGATGATTTTAACGGGATTCCAACTACGCTTCTAATAATGCTCTGAGAATTCATGAATATTCAGATTATTAACGTAGTAGGTTCTAAAGTCTCTGGCCAGATTTTATTACGATTCTAAGGATTCTAATGGTAATAGGTACTTAGAGTTCCAAGAAAACATATACAAAAATGCTAGTCTTTGGTTTTCATTTAATACTAAAAGGAGTTCTTAATAGTTCTGAAGGTCCCAAAGGTTTTAAAATTGTAACAAGGAAAGTCTAAGAAAACTCTATGAAGATTTCGCAAAGATGATTGCAAAAAGATTCCCAAGTTTGCAACTCTTTTAAAGTTATGCAAAAAGCGTAGCACATGAAAAACCGCGAAAGTTTTTTTTCTATTCCGGTGTCACAATGATGATTTTGTACAACTGTTTTCGACCGAAAACAGTTGTACAAAGACAGTGATTATAGTCGTCTTTTTTTGGTAACTCATCTCTTAAGTTGGCAGTTACTAGTTAGTACAAGTAGGTACTTCGTTGGGTACTTCCTTAGATCTGATATAAACATGGATGGAGCGATGCAATTACACTATGTCGCCAACATCCATGTTTATATGATCTAAGGGTACTTCCATGTTTGAACTTCAAAATGTCAGTCTTACTACGCTGCCAACCTAAAACTTAACGGCATAAAAAGTGTTCCCAACATAAAACATGTTAGTTCTAATGTTCCCTATAGTTTCTGTTAATGGTTTTTTTAATTAAATTAAAGCACCGAAATAGAAAAAATAGCATGAAAAACGCGTGTTACAATGCTTTATTGTAATACACCTATCTTGCGGACACTCGTGGCTACGCTTCGCGTCGCAACTCGTGCCACAAGATAGTCGTACTACAATAGGTCGCATTGTAACACTTGTCTTTCAATAATATACTATTTTAATTTTTGCTCTATATTTCCTTTGTGAGAAATTTATGTGTACTTTTTGATGAGTATCCTGAGGATGCCGCCTAAAGGAGCACCAAATTTGTACGGTAGTCACGACTGTATTCTTCATCGCCAGCGAAACTGTGTTTAACGCATCGTCCATCAGCATAATCCTCCAAGAGAAGATGCTCTCGAATGACAAAAACAAGGTTGAGCATCCTGTTATGCTTTTGCTCTCGAACGGATTAAGACAAAAACAGCAAAAGAGGACGCAGAAAATTACCATGCCATCATCGTTGGCGAGGATGGAAAGTCTACTTCCAAAAGAGTGGCAGATTTCTCTACCAGCTTGTTCAGTTAAGGAAAACTCGAGGTATCAGTACCACCTGGATTTGAACTGTTCGTCCAGGCATTTACTGAGTGCGACACCACCTCTGGCCTCTTCTAACAGGGGCAGATGAAAATGTGGAGCCACTTCAGACAGAATCAATCCCTAGTGATCCAAGCCAGAGGTTTTCTGCATCGAGATGTCACACCATATAGATGAAACGACACCCTCACCAAGAAGAAAATTGTTAATGGAGCTTTGTCAAGTGGATATGTTAAAATGGTCTATAACAAATACAAAAACATAAATACGTGAGCAGAGGAGAAAGGCTAAGTTTTTTGGGAGGGTGAAAAGGGGTGAAAATAGTATGAGTGCAATTTCTGGCAAGTGTCCAATGGAAAAATTGTAGATTGTAAAAAAACCGAAAAATTCGCAAAAACCCGTGTTTTTTGTTCATTTCTGCAAAAATGATTTATTCGGCAAAAAACTTTTTTTTCAAATGAAAATTGTCCTTCGGAGATTTATCGTAGGGAGTTCAATTTGGTGTCACTTTATTCGTTTTTTATCTATACTTTTTGATGAAATAAAAAAATTATAGTTATGTTACAATAGAATTAGGCCCCCTTCCCCTTTCCAGAGTTCGAAATCGTTACAAGCCATAGAGAGGAGAGTAACAGGAGTGTATTAGTTTTATTCGAAGCAAGACTCACGCTCGCATACATTTCAGCTATATAGATAATTGTACTCCTGGAGACGCTTACCACAAAACACGTACGATGCAAAGTTTGGTAAGCTTTTCAGAGCCATCTCTCAATGGATGTGAAACTATTAGCATTAGCATGGTAAAAATGAATCTGAAGACACTAGTAGCCTGGTTTTCATTGGATGCTGAACATCAATTACCTGAGGAATTCAGTGATGACGAGGAGGAGCTTGAAGAACAGGAACAATTTGTGGATGATGAAGAGTCCAAATCTACATCTCCAAATGATGAAACAGGCAAGATTAGACGGATGTCATTTTTTTATTCCGTTTTATAAATATTGTGAAAATTGTCCAGAATAAAATATGTAATTTGAAAAAAAATTGGTTTTTACGTACCTAATTTGATGTTCATACATCTACCAACAATTATGAAACTGTCTGTTCCTAAAGTTGTTAATTATACCGCCCTGGTAGGAACACGTGTACTCCTCGTCTTCCTACAGGCGTTCTTCTACGGGCGCGCATTTGCTGCCAGTCAGATCTCCGGCCACCCGGGCATTAAAAGCTACCTTTTTACAAATAATTACAAATAAATTTGCAAAAATGCGCAAAAAATTAGAAAGAGTTGTTATTTTTCATATGAAACTCTATTATGAGACCTGATAATACTACAAAGAAAGAAAGTGTCTGTTCAAACACAGAAATAACAGGTGATTTTGTATTTTTCCCGTAGAATCGAATGCTGAAATCAGTTTTTGACACATTTCTAA